ATACACAGAAGAACTAGAAGTCTCCGAAGAACGAATATATACCAAGAAACAATATGGATTACAGCATGATCACCGATCAGACAACGCTGTAACCCTCCGAATAGAGCTGGCTAAATGCGCCGCACGGAAGCAATAGCCAAGAGAACCTAGAGAGAGAGAGAGATTATTTCTCCTGTGTATTATGAAAAGTTAGCGTTATTATTTCATTTACTGTTTATGTTTATATTTCCATACGCCCTTACCACCAAAAACAGATTGCCTTTTACATCGTATGAAGTTAAATCGGTTATAAAATGAATGCGTTGAAGGAGGAGGTCAAAGAAGAGACACTTATAACCTTAGAAGATTTCCCATTCATTTGTCGAATTTGTTGTTTGAAGCGAAGCGATTTGAGACCCTTTGATGAGGAACACTACTTATTTGATCTATTCCGTGTCATTAGGAAAATTGCTGTAAGGATCTTATTAAGTATATAGATTTACATTTGCCAATTGGTCTAAAACTTTCAACGTGATATAATCATATCAGGGAAACAAAGGCGTCTTTTTAATCTTTATGCATCAATCCTGCCCAAGAAATCAATTTCCAGTTGTTCTTTAAAACAGTTTGTCCAATTGCAGATGTGAAATTTAGTGTGAAGCAGGGCTCTGTTTTACACAGACGAAATAGTTTTGTGTGTGTTTTACTGTACAATACAAACCAGTATTGTGTATGTGTGTGTGTGTGTGATGGATTTTTATCAGGTATCTGTAAATTTCATCACATATCTACATAAATGACAAGATCATTCTTCAAAGAGATTTTTTTATGAGTCATTAATACTATTCATGATTAGTTACTCTGATGCCACATTTAACTAAACGATATCAACACACCAGTTGAAACAGATTCTGTCAAGCTTTGATGAAAGTCAGTCGAGTCTGGGACAAATTGCTGTCTCGCTTGAATCTGTCCTGTGCTGATAAGGGGAAATACTCCGAAACTGGTCTCTAGGTGATCACTTGTTAGTTAAAAAAAGCTACAAAAAATTTATGTGTGAGGAAACTTGCACAAATGTCTGTCAGATGTAATACGATGTCAACGTATTAGAAAGGAAAGCAAATGTTTGCCAGCTCCCACAGTTTTTTATTCAAAATGTTATTTTTATTGACTTGTTTTATGTCATATTATATCAGTATAAATCATCTGATATTGATTGAAACGAACTTCTTAAGGCAAACTCCACAAATTCTACGACAAATTTGCCTGAAAACATATGCAATGAATGCGTCGTTAAACTAGAAGACATATCACTGTTCATTGATATCTCGAAGTCTAATAACCACAGCACAGGAATAAACTCTACAACGGTGAAAAAGGAAAACGAATGCAAAGACGTGGTGGAACTAACTCAAGAGGATGAAGTGAGGCCTACTGATGAACACCAAGACGATATATCTCTTCCTGAAGTTCCAGCTTGTCGAATTTGTTTGTCTCCGAATGGCGTGACTATTTTTCAAGAGAAACCTCAGATGGTGCAACTGTTCAAGGATCTAACGGACATTGATGTAAGTGAAAAAACACTTTGATTTTATTCAAATACAAACAGGGAGAAGGACGGTTGACTTTCACAGTGACACCGTTGAAATTGGGTACATGTTTCTTTCCGCACATTAAAAGATAAGACCTTGCACAAGTTTTGATTTCGGATGGTTTTTTTCATATGGATATTTTTGAGTTAGACATGACTCCACCAACCCTCATAGTTTCACTCTGGCCATGGTTTTCAGGATACATAATTAAACGACTAATCTAGAATATTACTGGAGTTTTTTCCCAACACCAAATTGTTATTTTTAACACCTTGACACGTGTTTTGATCACCAAGTGATCATCTTCAAGAGGAAGATCAACTGGAAAACTTGCGAAGCTAACCTTATTTATGCACAGGTATACCACACATTTAAAATTTTGGGAATCCTGGAAAAGGCAACATTTCATATTCATCAGCGAATATTTGTAATGAGTTTATTGATGTAATGGGAAAACAGGTCCTAAAAAAATTATACATGAAGTTGAATTAGCAAAATATTTTTCCATTAGCGTTGACTGTACTTCCGATTTGTCGATACGTAAAAGGGCGCGATTCAGTTGATAGGTTTCTGAAATTCAAACCTAATGTTACGTTTTTACCCGTGAGGTGATCAATAATTAACTACACTGAATAATCAAACTTTATTTCACTTTTAATACAACAAACACTTCAACTAAAAATATCAACTATAATTTGAATGTCTATCACCTTACTGTACTTGACTGTCTCGATATGCCCGCCGCTAGCGTTTAAATATCATAGTCGAACATCGTAGAATTTTCGCCGAAGTTTTTTGCTACTTCTCGAGCGACAGGGAACATTGGGCATTCCCGCGCTCTTAGCTACGTCACGTTTGGTTTATGGTTACCAGTTGCGGCGTTACTCTCTTTCGGGCATGATTTACAACACTATTAAAAAGTATAAATCTGAGTGTTTACCTGAAACTATTTTGATTTCTTCAGAGAGTCATGATATTAGGAATCACACGTTAAAAGGTAAGACCTCGTTATCACAAGTTTCTCAACTTCTGAGAGTTGTCGTTCGTATGGGGGCGACAGTTGATTAACGGAAAAACAGATTTTAAACAGAAACAGATTCCCATTGTAGAGGACAAAGCTACGACAATGCTTTAAATATGGCGGGTAGCCTTACAAAGGTCTCTCGAAATTGGAGGGTTTTCAATTGGCATTTAGTGAAATATTACATATCTTTTGAGAAAAACCAATCATAAAATTCCATTGCTATGCTCTGATTTTGACCACATTTGAACCAAATTGAGTGTCCGAAGTCACAATTTGAAACAATCCCAAAAATAGCTAGTAATTCATTAATGTGTGCAATTCATCAGTTACCTGTACTTTTCTACTTCATTTTGATCTTTCTAGGTAACACACATCAATTCACAGAATGGTGACAGAATATGTGACACATGTTCTGATAAACTAGAAGAAATATCATCGTTCATTGATCTATTACTGTTCAATAATGGCCTACTAGAAAATATCCTTTGTGGAAATAATGCTGTGGAAACTGAAAGCTACTTAGACTCGAGTAATGTGGATTTACCAACTTGTAATGATGTGAAATATGACATAGTCTCTGATGAGATATATTTGAAATTGGAGAAAGAACATGAGATCATTGATATCAAAGAAGATATCAATGGAATCGAAGATGAAGCTGCTTTTGGTCGGAATCATCTCAGTGAAACAGAAGTTGATGCTAGTGCAATCCTTCCAGAAGAGTCGTTCCAGTGCCATTACTGCGAAATGAAATTTGCTCATGAAAGTTATTTACAACGCCATTTGCGCACTCATACAACTGACAAACCATTCGAATGTGAAGTGTGCAGAAAAAGTTTCGATACAAAAAGGGTTATGAAAAGGCACATGTTAACTCACATGGAAAAAAAACCCTTTGAATGTCATTATTGTGAAAAAAGTTTTACAAGTAAAATTAATTTACAGGGCCATTTGCATATTCATACTGGAGATAAACCTTTTGAATGTAATGTTTGTCAAAAGAAATTCGGCCTGAACGAAATTTTGAAACGGCATTTGGTAGTTCATTCTGACAAAGGACAATTTCAGTGTCATTACTGTGATAAGAGATTCTTTTATGAACATAATTTGAGAAAACATACATTGACTCATACAGGTGAAAAACCGTTTGACTGTAATGTGTGCGGAATTAAATTTACACTGAAACAGAGTATGAAAACACATATGATGCTTCACAGGGGGGAAAAGCTATTTAAATGTCAACACTGCAAAAAAAGTTATTCAAGGAAATTTTCTTTACAGAGCCATTTGTATTCTCATATGGAAGATAAACCTTTTAAATGCAATATATGTCAAAAGAAATTCGTCCTGAACAGTAGTTTGAAACGGCATTTGGTAGTTCATTCTGACAAAGGACAATTTCAGTGTCATAACTGTGATAAGCAATTCTTTCAGAAAATAAATTTGAAAAGACATATATTGACTCGTACATGTGAAAAACCCGTTTGAATAGAATGTAATGTGTGCAAAGTTTTGCTCATAAACGATTACTAGATAAAGATGTCGATTAGAGAAATCGATTTTCAAACATCTTTTGATTGAGTATTTCTTGTATTGGCATAGATATTTGGATGATGTATTGGTATGTTTCACAGGTACTAAGAGACAATTAGATGATATTTTTCATAGGGATATTAACAAAATTCATGAAAAATTAAATTCACTAGTGAAGTAGAAGCAGTAACAATTAGTAGAATGAATAACAAATATGATTTTTCAACTTGATAATAATAATAAGTTTCGCCAACTAAGTTAGCGTCTTTTCTGATTGATTTGGCCGTTACTTGATGAAGATCCATAGTAATTTAAAAAACTACGCATAGAAAATTAAGGTTTGAAACTCAATCATTTAGCTAGAGGTTTAGATAATTTTTTTTGAGGTAGTTTCAATTATGGTTATCTGTAGTATATAAATATTAATTCAAGAACAACTTGAAGTATAAATCACACAATACTCTGCTAGCGAAACATGTGATATATTTTTCAAAGTTTGTGAAGATCAAATCGTGAGGTGTAGTTTTTGAAATTAAGTAAGCGTCCTCAGGAGATCATTATGGCTAAATTTTACTGCTGTGTTGGTATTTTACTACTTCGACTAACTACTACCTGTATATTACTGGAGTTTTATCCCAACACCAAACCATTATTTTTGACACCTCAACACGTGTTTCGATCACCAAGTGATCATCTTCAAGACGAAGAATAAACTAAATTACATACAATATTGTCCTTATTCATACCATAGGTATCTCTACTAGGTACTCGCGTCTTAATTGTCTACAATTACAATATTTGCATTCAATACTTGTGCGATTATAGGTTATTTATAAGAAAATAAATATTTCGAAAGATTCATTTTTCTTTTCACTCTGTTTATCCTTTATCCTCAGCTATCTATTCATCCTAACGATTTATAACATATATAAGAACGGTTGAACATGTATAGAACAATAGTAAATACATTTTTATATATACCTACAGAAAAAGGCTATAAATACCTACCAATGGGGAATGTTCCTCAATTTGGGTTATTACAGCAAATGCAAGTTTGAACAAAATAATGTAGAGTTTAATTCATGAGTTTTTCGAATTCATTTCGAAAAGTATTCAAATTGATGTTTCAACTGTTAAAGGGATTTGTTTCTAATTCACATATTGGCAACAGCGCCTATATCAAGTTGAAATAATTTATGAGTACCTAGATATTCTACTTTAAAAAAGGAAATTTATCTTTATTAAGGCAAAATATAAATTCTAGTTCAATACCACAAGCCACATAAACAACAGTTGTTTTGTTATTCATTTATATAGAGGAAGGTAGGTTAGGTGCACAAAATGTCATATGTCACATAATGTCTCGGAACATTATTAGGAGCACTCATTCCCTCAATAAAGCGCATCTCCACAAAATTAAGATAGTTGATGACGACCGCTGCGAATGTGGGGAAATACAGACTCTCCTACATATATTCTTTGCCTGCCCTAATAATTCTCATAATATACAAATACTTCAATACTTCATGCCTCTCTTAGCATCCATCCTTCAACCATTCAGCCTCTTACCTTTCACGATATATTTTTCAAACATATATCACCATCTAACATACAAACCATATCCAAATTCCTGATTGCATCCAATATAAAGCTGTAGTGATCAAGACAGAACTAATACTTGTGCGCATGCAGTGCTTCGCCAATCATGATCTGATCGTAGTGTCCATACACGTAACCGTAGTGCATCACCTCACATTAGTGCTTACACTCTAGTGCAGGCGGACATTGCTTGTTAACTGACCTCAAGCTACAGTCGAACTTTGTTTTAGCGCAAAACCATGTGGGGTTTGGGTCTAACTCATATCCACTTTAGTGTGGGCTTCACCTGTAGTAGCAACATGATCCTGGAACTCCTGGCTGGATAGCCCTGGCAGCTGAAGCCATTAATGGAAAAAGAAGAAGAAGAACTCGGAACATAAGTAAACAGAAGAGCACAACAGATTCATTGTCCTTTATTAGTTATAACCGATGTTGTCAAATCTTAATCTGTGGTTATTAGTTACAAAGATGTTACCAACCTAACACAATATACTAAATGAAAGGCAAAAATTTACTTACGTGGAATACTGTCTACCTCACTTATGGCAATACATCAATGTCTACCAGTGAGGATGACAGTGTTCCATGTAAGTGAAATTTTTACCTTTCATTTAGTATATTGTGTCCCGTGAATTGGGCTACCTATCGGGCGCGTCCCCAGTAGGCGGAAAGGGGACAGGGGACTGGGAGCCCTGTCCGGGAAGGCCTGTTCCCGGCCTTACAGACGGGGTCGCCGGACTCCTGGTCAGTGGCAGAAATAAGTAGGGTGAGGGGAACTAAAACTCCCCAAAAGCATTTGCGAAACATGCCACCGTGGACCAGCCTTCCCAAGCTAAGGTGTAAGGAGTCGTGTCGACAGCTAAAAGGGAAGTGCAAACACTGGTTGTGACGGCATCTCTTCCATAATATCTGAAAACAGCTGACAGGACTTTGTTTTTGTTTTATCATCTGGCTTGGTTCCAATTTCCAATATGTCCAATAGACGTCGTATCTGGCCGATTAATATTCCAATGTGGAAGTGCCAGGATCTCAGAGGAACAGTTATTCCTCTGAGGAACATATGGTAACATATGGAAAATTTACTCAATTTGTGTTGGCAGCACTGTACACAATATGAAGATTATGATTATTTCTCTTGTGCTAGTTGTTCTTGTGTATTATGAGAAGTTAGCGTTATTAGGTTAATATGACAAATTATACGCATACGCGTTTACCACCAAAATCTGATTGCCTTTTATAAGGTAATGGTATAAAGTTAAATCGGTTTTAAAATGAATGGGTTGAAGGAAGAGGCCAAAGAAGAGACAATTATAACCTTAGAAGATTTCCCACTCATTTGTCGAATTTGTTGTTTGAAGCGAAGCGATTTGAGACCCTTTGATGAGGAACACTACTTATTTGATCTATTCCGTGTCATTAGGAAAATTGCTGTAAGGATCTTATTAAGTATATAGATTTACATTTGCCAATTGGTCTAAAACTTTCAACGTGATATAATCATATCAGGGAAACAAAGGCGTCTTTTTAATCTTTATGCATCAATCCTGCCCAAGAAATCAATTTCCAGTTGTTCTTTAAAACAGTTTGTCCAATTGCAGATGTGAAATTTAGTGTGAAGCAGGGCTCTGTTTTACACAGACGAAATAGTTTTGTGTGTGTTTTACTGTACAATACAAACCAGTATTGTGTATGTGTGTGTGTGTGTGATGGATTTTTATCAGGTATCTGTAAATTTCATCACATATCTACATAAATGACAAGATCATTCTTCAAAGAGATTTTTTTATGAGTCATTAATACTATTCATGATTAGTTACTCTGATGCCACATTTAACTAAACGATATCAACACACCAGTTGAAACAGATTCTGTCAAGCTTTGATGAAAGTCAGTCGAGTCTGGGACAAATTGCTGTCTCGCTTGAATCTGTCCTGTGCTGATAAGGGGAAATACTCCGAAACTGGTCTCTAGGTGATCACTTGTTAGTTAAAAAAAGCTACAAAAAATTTATGTGTGAGGAAACTTGCACAAATGTCTGTCAGATGTAATACGATGTCAACGTATTAGAAAGGAAAGCAAATGTTTGCCAGCNACATGTTCTGATAAACTAGAAGAAATATCATCGTTCATTGATCTATTACTGTTCAATAATGGCCTACTAGAAAATATCCTTTGTGGAAATAATGCTGTGGAAACTGAAAGCTACTTAGACTCGAGTAATGTGGATTTACCAACTTGTAATGATGTGAAATATGACATAGTCTCTGATGAGATATATTTGAAATTGGAGAAAGAACATAAGATCATTGATATCAAAGAAGATATCAATGGAATCAAAGATGAAGCTGCTTATGGTCGGAATCACCTCAGTAAAACAGAAGTTGATGCTAGTGCAATCCTTCCAGAAGAGTTGTTCCAGTGCCATTACTGCGAAATGAAATTTGCTCAAGAAAGTTATTTTCAACGCCATTTGCGCACTCATACAACTGACAAACCATTCGAATGTGAAGTGTGCAGAAAAAGTTTTGATACAGAACCGGTTATGAAAAGGCACATGTTAACTCACATGAAAAAAAAAACTTATGAATGTCATTATTGTGAAAAAAGTTTTACAAGAAAAAAGAATTTACAGGGCCATTTGCATATTCATACTGGAGATGGACCTTTTGAATGCAATGTTTGTCAAAAGAAATTCGGTCTGAAAGAAATTTTGAAACGGCATTTGGTACTTCATTCTGACAAAGGACAATTTCAGTGTCAACACTGTGATAAGAGATTCTTTTATGAAGATAATTTGAGAAAACATACATTGACTCACACAGGTGAAAAACCGTTTGAATGTAATGTGTGCGGAATTAAATTTAGACACAAACAGAGTATGAAAAACCATAAGTTGCTTCATACTCGTACAGGTGAAAAACCGTTTGAATGTAATGAGTGCGGAACTAAATTTACATTGAAACAGAGTATGAAATACCATATGTTGCTTCATACGGGGGAAAAGAAATTTAAATGTCAATACTGCCAAAAAAGTTTTTCAAGGCATTTTGCTTTAAAGACCCATTTGCATCGTCATACTAAAGATAAACCTTTTAAATGCAATATTTGTCAAAAGAAATTCGGTATGAACGTATATTTGAAACGGCATTTGCTAATTCATTCTGATGAAAGACAATTTCAGTGTCATAACTGTGATAAGAAATTCTCTCAAAAAGTACATTTGAAAAGACATATATTGACTCGTACATGTGAAAAACCCGTTTGAATAGAATGTAATGTGTGCAAAGTTTTGCTCATAAACGATTACTAGATAAAGATGTCGATTAGAGAAATCGATTTTTAAACATTTTTTGATTGAGTATTTCTTGTATTGGCATAGATATTTGGATGACGTATTGGTATGTTTCACAGGTACTAAGAGAAAATTAGATGATATTTTTCATAGGCATATTAACAAAATTCATGAAGAATTAAATTCACTAATGAAGTAGAAGCAGTAACAATTAGTAGAATGAATAACAAATATGATTTTTCAACATGATAATAATAATAAGTTTCGCCAACTAAGTTAGCGTTTTTTTTTATTGATTTGGTCGTTACTTGATGAAGATCCGTAGTAATTCAAAAAACTACACCTCGCGATTTGATCTTCACAAACTTTATTTTGAAAAATATATCACAACATGTTTCGCTGGCACAGTAGCTTTTTCAAGTGATTTATACTTCAAGTTGTTCTTACATTAATATTTATTTACTACAGATAACCATAATTGAAACTACCTCAAAAAAAATTACCTAAACCTCTAACTAAGGTACCTTTTCAATTATGATTACCTGAAGCATTTTACCTCTCATCTACATCAATAATAATAATTCTTTCTTGGTTTTTAAGAAAACAAGTTTAATAATGGTGATCTATTCAAATTCAGTTGGTCATTCATTAGAATGTTTGAATTTTCAAGTTTATTAATTTCCATTGCTTCCAAATGATTCAGTTTCAAACCTTTATTTTCTGTGTAAAGTTAGAATATGATTTTCTTCTAGAAGATAATTTGAATATGTTGAATTTGTTTTCTTATTCACATGGCTCGTATGATGTTTCTGGATCCGATTCCTAAATGTTCTGTCAGTTTGACCAATATATACCTTAGGGCACGTTCCACACTTTATATCACAGATTAGTCGATGTTCCTCTTTCAATAGAAAATTTCAATAAAGAACTTACTGGAGTTTTATCCCAACACCAAACCATTATTTTTCAACACCTCAACACGTCTTTTGATCACCAAATGATCATCTTCAAGACGAAGATTAAACTAAATTACATACAACATTGTCCTTATTTATACCATAGGTACCTCTACTAGGTACCCGCGTCTTAATTGTCTACAATTAAGTTAATTGTCTATAATTACAATATTTGCATTCAATACTTGTGTTCAATACTTGTGTGTTTATAAATTATTTATAAGAAAATGAATATTTCGAAAGATTCATTTTTCTTTTCTCTCTGTTTATCCTCATCTCTTTATCCATCCTAACGGTTTAAAACATATATAAGAACGGTTGAACGTATATAGACCAATAGTAAATAAATATTTATGACAGAAAAAGGCTATAAATACCTACCAATGGGGAATGTTCATCGATTTGAGTCATTACAGCAAATGCAAGTTTGAACAAAGTAAAGTTGAGTTTAATTCATGAGTTTTTCAAATTCACTTCGGAAAGTATTCAAATTGATGTTTCAAATGTTGGGTTTTAATTTTTAAGGGGTTTTTTTTCTAATTCACATATTGGCAACAGGGCTTATATCAAGTTGAAATAATGTATACGTACCTAGATATTCTACTTTAAAAAAGGAAAATTATCTTTATAAATCAACAATTAAGGCGAAATATAAATTATAGTTCAATACCACCTCCACAAGCCACATAAACAACAGTTGTTTTGTTATTTATTTATATAGAGGAAGGTAGGTTAGATGCATAAAATGTCATGTGTCACAGAATGTCTCGGAACTCTGAACATAAGTAAACGAATCCCTTTAAATGTTGAATGCATTATTTCATTCCTCTTTTTTAACTATTCAAATAATTTTTTAAAGAAAAAGGTTGAAACGAAAAGTTCAAAATGCTGAAAAGAGAAATGAAAATTTCAATGTTTTTTACCACTCTTATTTGTAACTAACGTTACTGCAGTAAAAAACATAGAAATTTTCATTTCTCTTTTCATCATGATCTCCTACCACGTAGTAACGGCTACATCCATCAATTTATTTTTAGTTTAAAATGCGTTGATTTAGAGCTCTTTTGTGAAAACTTCTTGATTTTCGTCAGGAGAACATTCCCCATTGTTATAGGAAGGGGATTTTTCAAAAAAAAATCGGGAAAATTTAACTTTATATGACACTCACGGATTTTCGCGATTTTTTCTATGATGATACTACGTGATGGTAGGAATACAAAACACTTTTAATTTTTTTTCGGATTCAATTAGTTTTCGAGATATAGCCTGTCAAAATTTGTATGATGTCATATTTCACCTTTCTGAATAACGATGAAATACATTCTCATTATCAATAATACGTGGCCAAGTTTTCAGTTTTCACAATGGGGAATGTTCCTACTGATGAAAATCAAGTAGTTTTCAAGAGCTCTAAAACAACGCATTTCAAACTTATCATTTCAACCTTTTTCTTTAAAAAAATATTTGAATACTTAAAAAAGAGGAATGAAATAATGCATTCAACATTTAAAGGGATTTGTTTCTATTTCACCATTTGGCAACATCGGTTATAGCTAATAAAGGACAATGAATCTATTACCTGAATGAGACAATCAAAGATGACATATTTCAGAGGCGTGCTGTTCTGTTTACTTATGTTCCGAGACATTCTGTGACATATGACATTTTGTACACCTAACCTATCTTTTTCTATATAAATAAATAACAAAACAACTGTTGTTTATGTAGCTTGTGGAGGTGGTATTGAACTATAATTTATATTTTGCCTTAATTGTTGATTTATAAAGATAACTTTCCTTTTTTAAAGTAGAATATCTAGGTACGTATAAATTATTACAACTTGATATAGGCGCTGTTGCCAATATGGGCAATTAGAAACAAATCCCTTTAAAAATTAAAACCCAACATTTAAAACATCAATTTGAATTATTTTCGAAATGAATTTGAAAAACTCATGAATTAAACTCAACTTAATTTTGTTCAAACTTGCATTTGCTGTAATGACCCAAATCGATGAACATTCCCCATTATAATTTTGTAAAGTTGCATTCCACTTTTCATCTGAAATAGATGTACTAGTTTCTAGAGCACCATTGCGACGCATCTACAAATCTTCAATTGACGTATAACAACACATTTTGATAACATTCAAACTCAATTTGTTTAATAATTTATATTGCTTTTTCAATATAAATGAAACTTATTGATAAGGTTTACGTTACCTCGTTGATGTTGGTATTGTTACAATTCTGCCGTTGATAGCATTCAAATATTAAACATTGCTAATATTATAGTAACTGCTGTTAATGCGAAAGAAAAAGCACTTGTTTTATTTTTCTTTTATATATCTGAGGTTCAGTTGAGTTTAATCAAATAAAAACATAAAAAGTCTATCTGGAAGCTTCATTTAAAATAAAGTAAAACAACAGTTGAAACTTCAATTTCAATTATTCAACCTCGCAATTTGTAATGTTTACTTGAACGCCCAAAACATTACATAACCCATTCCACTTGAGTTTACGACAGTAATGATCGCAAGCAAGTGGAACGGGAAAAACTGCGTTCGTGAGCGTGATCGTTGTGAGCGCTTAGTGGAACGCACGGTTTATTGTGCGATTGTGCTCAATTTGCGTCGGCAACACTGTACACAAATGAAATTATGATTACTTTTTTGTGTTTGAGTAGCTAGCGTTATATTTTTATTTACCGTTAATTACTATGTTAGGTTAATTATATGGCAAATTATTTCCACACGCGTTTAGTCCACCAAAAACAGATCGCCTTTCATATCGTATAAAATAAAGTTGAATCGGTTCCAAAATGAATGTGTTGGAGGAAGAGGACAAAAAAGAGACAATTATAACTTTAAAAGATTTCCCATTCATATGTCGAATTTGCTGTTTGAAGCAAAGCGATTTGAGACCCTTCGATGAGGAAGACTACTTATTTGATCTATTCCATGTCATTAGGAAAATTGATGTAAGTATCTTCAAGTATATAGATTTACATTTGCCAATTGTCCTAAGACTTGTCAGCTTTATTTCCTTTGACATAATCGTATCAGAGAAACAGAGGGATGATTTTGACCCTTAGGCATGAATCCTACCCGAAAAACAGATTTCAAGTTGTTTTTTATAACAGTTTGTCCAATTGCAGATGTAAAATTTGGTGTACAGCAGGGCTCCGTTTTGGAGGTCACTGCAGAAATCAAATGTGAAAACTATCGGGAAGAGATACATACGTGTAAAAGAATGAATATTTCAATATACAATTTTGAAGTATCAATCTCTCCCTACTACCTACACAGTAGGCTTAAGTAAACACCTTTTGGAAGACGACTACTTCTTCGGCTAATACCACGCTTGATACTGAATTATATCTGACAGACATTTATGCAAGATACTTCAGAGTTTAGTCTTGCAAATGTTCCTCGTTCTTCCAGCAGCAGGACTATGCCGAAATTATTTGAATAGATCACATGCAGACATCTGTTTCGAGGTATTACTTCTCATCAGTACAGGAAAGATCTTATCCACTGTTATTCAAATAACACCCTTGTGAAATTTTCACAAAGTAGTTTACATAATCGAATCATGTGTTTCACTAGACAGTAGCTCAATAGAAACCAGTATTGTGTAATTTTGTAAAGTGTATAGTGAAATTTCACAATAAAATATTACTTGAATAATGAATATTTTATGGATTTTGAGAGACATTAGTACCATCTATGTTCAATTACTCTGATACTTTATATGAGATGCATTTAACTAAACGAAATCAAACATTCTTAGAATTGAGGGTACCTGTATGTGGTTCATATATGGTATGAGAAAATATGACTGAAGAATGTACACCATTTTGACATTTGTATACACTCATTGAAGTAATCACTAAACAGCCCAACAGGTATAACTGTATGCACAATACTACCACATCGTTCAAATTTGCGAACCAACTTTCGCCTGAAAACAGAGTCATAAAGGATTCGAATGGTACCATCTAATATTCTTACCAGTTCTGGTCAAACCATGTATCTTAGTATAGGCATACTAATAATTACTTCTGTTAGTTTAGACAACTACTTTTCGGAAAATGTTCATCAAAAAATAATAAGTCAGTGTCCATCTTGACAGGAAAATTGATTTGTTTTTTCGATTACTCATATTGTTTACTGGAAGGAAGATATTGAGGTGAAAAGTTTTTAAATTGACACTCTGTATGAAGGGCGCAAATTGTGGAGTTGTATTCGATTATTGATATAACAATCGAGCATTATATGATTTTTAAGAGTGAAACCTAACAATTTTAGTCCTCCAGAAGTAACATTCGCAATATGTGACGTGAGTGACATTTTTGGGTCAAGAGTGATTCCTAAATCTTTGATTGTATTTTTGTTTTCAGTTCCAATTGCCTGATTTCATATAGACTCAGTCACGATTAAGTTTCGACTCCAGATTACAAGCAAACAGAAGAAATTCACTATAGAGAATAACGTCATTCAAATCATTTACAAACAGGTTGAAAAGTAATAGTCCTAAATGAGATCCCTGCGGTACACCAGATGGAACTGGACTCTGCATGCAAGAATTTTCAATCCGTTTCAGAATGTTTTCCTCGGAAGTTGAGTCTGGAAACGATTGAATTTCGCCTATTATTATCGTTAACTTTTATTTTATGATATATAAATTGTGATGATAATGAAGACAATTATTATTGTTATTATTTTTTTATACTGGTCGGGCCCTATCCTCAGAAGTCCTGATACATTTGGATACATTTTATCAACCAATGACCACTCCCCACACCGTGGGGTGAGTGATCATTGGGTTCGAGAATCATGTGCCCTGAGCAAGCGCAGTGAGAATGGCAGCCTTCTGCATTTGTCTGGCTGAGATTCCTGCCATAGGTGATCACTTAATCGATAAAAAAAAACTGCTGCAAAAATTTCCTGTATGGGGAAACTTACACAAATGTCTGGCAGATGTAATACAATGTCAATGTATTAGAAAGGAAAGCAATTGTTTGCCAGATCCCACAGTTTAGGACAGCTGGCAGATAGAAATTCTTCGTATGTTCATTCAAAATAGTATTTTTATTCACTTGTTTTATGTTGTATTATATCAGTATGAATCATCTGATATTGATTGAAATGAACTTCTTAAGGTAAACTCCACAAATTCTACGACGAATTTCCCGGAAAACATATGCAATGAATGCGTCGTTAAACTAGAAGACATATCACTCTTCATCGATATCTCGAAGTATAACAACCACAGCACAGGAAAAAACTTGATAACAGTGAAAATTGAAAATGAATGCAAAGATGTGGTGGAACCAACTCACGAGGATTCATCTGTTTCTGTATCTTCAGCGTGTCGAATTTGTTTGTCTCCGAATGGCGCGACTCTTTTCCAAGAGAAACCTCAGATGGTGCAACTGTTCAAGGATCTAACGGACATTGATGTAAGTGAAAAAACACTTTGATTTTATTCAGATACAAACCGGGAGAAGGCTGGTCGACTTTTCCAAAGATTTTTTATTGATATACAGCAGGGGTCTCCAAACTTTGAAGCCTTCGGGCCATAATGATTTTTTCAGGTTTGTTCCTAGGGCCAATTTCGGTCCTCAACTATATTTCTAGACTAGGATAGTCGCAAAGTGCGTGACCTAAGCAAACTTACGCTTTCTTTGCATTTTAATTATTATTGTGTATTGTGACACTTAACGACATCTAGTGGCGAGTAGTGGTACTATGTACTATCTTTTTCAGCTACCCGCTAGGTGGCATTAGGCGTAATTAAATTTTGGAATTACCGCGTTGGTTCGAGAAAGTTCTGTTTCCAGCTAGTGTATTCTGATCACCTCGAGATGGCAGTAATAATTGCATATAAAACGGTTAGCGGCGCAACTGCGAGTTAGTCTGCGTAGGAAAGGCGAAGGAAGCGAAACTGTCTATTGTGAAATTAGGTAACACCCTTTGGAAAAATGGAACTTTCAGTATTTTGTGATTGAGTCCAGTAATAAGGCGCTATGTTTAATTTGTAATGAAACCATTGCTGTTCTCAAAGACTATAACATTAAACGACACTATGAATCGAAACATCTTCAAAGTTACTCCAAGTATACAGGAAGTTTGCGGAAGGAAAAATTTGAAGCTTTGAAACGCTGACTCAAATAGCAGCAATCTTTGTTTACCAAAGCGAATACTGAACAAGAGTCTGCAACTTACCTTTTAACGTGTTAGGAATCACACGTTAAAAGGTAAGACCTCGTTAGTCCTTAGCTCGCACAAGTTTCTCAACTTCTGAGAGTTGTCGTTCGTATGGGGGCGGCAGCTGATTAACGGAAAAACAGATTTTAAACAGATTTTAAACTCGCGCCAGCTTTCGTGTGGCTATTGAAATCGGAAAACGTGGCAAACCATTCACCGATGGAGAAATGATAAAAGAATGCATGATTGCAGTAGCCGAAGAAATATGCCCCGAAAAGGTAAATTTATTTAAAAGTGTCAGTTTGTCAGTAAACACCGTGGCTTGGAGGGTGCAAGACATCGCAGAAAATATATCATCTCAACTGTCTGACAAAAATGGACATCATGAGTGGTTTTCTCTAGCATTGGATGAGTCAATGGATGTGTCAGATACTGCTCAGGTGTTGATTTTTATTCGCGGAGTAGATAAAAGCTATGAAGTGTATGAAGAACTTCTTGATATTGATAGTATTCACGGCACGACAACTGGGGCAGATATTTTTAAGGGAGTTGAAAATGCCATCAATAAAAAGAACTTTTGATGGAGAAATTTGAAATCTATAACTACTGATGGGGGCAAAAATATGTATGGTAAAAATAAAGGAGTGGTTGCACTTGTGTCAAAGGCTGTAGAAAATGATGGTGGTTCAAAACCATTCATCAACAGTCCTTGTGCGGAAAATGTTTGGATATGTCTGAAGTTCTAAAACCAGTCATATCAGTTGTTAACTTCATCAGATCCACTGGGTATCAAATCCTTCAGGCAGAAAATAATACTATTTCAATCGCAATTACGTAAAAAATGTTTCACATATTTTGAAACATGTGAAAATTCAGTCACACTACAGAATGAATTCCCGTCAATTTTGAGTGCTTTGAAGATAAATTTTGATACTCGTTTTTCAGATTTTGATGTCATTGCGAATGAAATTGAGTTTTTTCGAAATCCTTTTGTTTCTGACATTGAAACCCTGGCTCCGGAAGTCCAAATGGAAATTATTGATTTACGGTGCAGTGATATGCTCAAGAACAAATATCAAAATTCATCTTTGTTGGAATTTTATAAGAGTCTTCCACTGGAACAATTTGATAATTTGCATAAATTTGCTCGTGGGTTGTTTTCTGTTTTTGGTACTACTTACTTGTGTGAGAAAACGTTTTCCAAGATGAAGTACACAAAGAATGTTTACAGACCTCAATTAACCCATGAGCATCTTAAATCTCTTTTGATAATTGGTACAACCACAAAGAACCACAACTACAAAGAATTGTCGGTGGAAAATCACAACTACATAAATCTCATTAGTGTTTTTGTTTTACTGTGATTCATTTCAATTATTTGTTAGTTATTAATATGCTTAAACTTAGATACTTAAGTTAAGTTTTCTTTGTCATCATTTCTGTCATTAAGTTTCACCTTGCTAGTAAATAAAACCGAGTAATTATCATTCTATGTTTTCTTCTTCAATTTATCACAGCAATAGTAACAACAATTAGGTAATCATTGGCTGTCGCGGGCCAGATTGATGACAGTAAATCATTGGCTGTCGCAGGCCAGATTGATGACAGTAAATCATTGGCTGTCGCGGGCCGGATTGATGACAATGGCGGGCCGGATTTGGCCGGCGGGCCGGATTTGGCCCGCGGGCCGTAGTTTGGAGACCCCTGATATACAGTGACACCATTGGTTTGCACGTTAGAAGATAAGACCCCGCACAAGTTTCGACTTTAGACGGTTTTGATCAATTTTACTTATGGATATTTTCAACAGGCTTAGGTTTTCATTTTGAGTTAGTTACGACTCTGTATCAACCACTCTACCAACCCTCATAGTTTCGGTCTGGTCAATGCTAGAAAGTCATAATTTTCAGGATATATAAACGACTGTTTTATAAAATAAATATTTTGATAAATATTCATCTCTCCTATCTATGCAAGATATCATACAGAGGTTAGTCTCCAGTGTCACTTTATGTCAATTTTGATTTTCTTTTTTAAAATGTTATTTTACCTGGGTTCTTTCTTTCGGTTTGGTCTTTCTATCGTTTAGAGAAGTTGAGGTCAAAGATGGTTTGGAAAGTAAGTCATTAGAAATTTGAACATTCACCTTATTTTTTCAACAGACCTCGTATATGTAATTTGAATGATTTTGTCATCGAAAATTGTTATTCTGTATGTTTATATTCAACTGTAAAGACAAAGCAGAACCAAACTTTCAGACTGCACTTCTTGAAAACTACTCTTTGTGATGTGAATACTTCTGAAAGAGAAGTTTTTTCTCGAAACATTAATTTCTCTCAAAATTACTTTTTGCTACACACATTGATGTGAGTGAAAAATGACTGAATTCTTTTTGCTTCAATGAATTGCTAGCTATTTACGAGATCATTGCCTGGCATTTCTTGTTTATTGAATGGAAATTTCACTTATTTTTTTTCAGTTTTGAAAAAGCATATATCGACTCACACACTAGAGAAAAATATTTTTAGCGCAACATTTGCCAACACAATCTCATTATAAATCCAATTTGAAACGGCATTTAGTCTTAAAAAATCATTCGAATTTAACGTGTGCGAAGAAACTTCTGATTGGAAACATGTTAGAACAACACGTTTGAATTCATACTGTCCTGGTATCATTTAAATGGCTGTACCGCGAAAAATCGTTTTCAGAGAAAATAAGGTTAAGGACGAATTTGATCTCGTACTGTAAAAACTATATGAATGTAATATAATATAATGCTGAAACTAATAAAAAGTTGAAGTTCAACTCACACTGAAGAAAAACTGCGAAAAAAAGATTCGCAATGACAATAATTCTACCGAAGAAAAACCTTTTCAACACAGTTTTTGCCAAAAGAGATTCCAGTGTCTGTTCTGCAAAAAAAATTCAAGATAAAAATTATTTCGTGAACGTTTTTGCAACTATTCTGGAGGAAAAACTCTTGAATGCCAAATTTGTCAACAGATTTTCGTTCAGAAGTCTCATTAGAAACCACATTTAGTCGAACACGCAGGTGAAAAACCATTTGTATGTAATGAATGCGGGAAAAAACTAGCTCGGAAAGAATCTTTAGCTTGAGATTCATTACTTTCAAGATCCGTGTATACTATGACTATGTTGCATTAAACGCATATTGAACATACCTTCTCTCGAGGCATGCAAAAAACATACAAGACTCAATTTTTCTATTTTAAATTATCTTAATTTGTATTTGTTCCTCGATAAGTGATTTATGACTGTTAAATTTATGGATGTTTCCCTTATTGACTTGTTTTATGAGTTTTATGTTCTCTGGTGGGGGGAAATTATGTTTGATTTGTATGGCGTGTGTTGCGAGGTTTGAGTTGTATATTATTGGGTTTATGTATGCCTTTTTGTGGTCGTCGTACCTTTGGATCAGTTTTTTCTTGGTACGACGAGCACAAAAAGGCATCATAAATGAAAGAGTTTTTAATAAGGGAATATTTTGAAATTGTTAAATTGAAGTTGTTTTTTTGGCGAAACCGATTTTGATGTTTTACTAGAGACATATAGTTTCAATAATGAAAATCGATATTACAGTGAAGATTTTCTTTTTTCTTTAAACAGTGGTCTGCAAGAAACTCGTGGCTTTACTTTCACACTAAAATTGATTGGAATATTGTCACAGTACCCTCAGAAAGGGAATCCATATCGTAGGTGAGATTCTATGAGAGAGTAATATGTAAATTTGGCATCGGCAAATACTACTTCATAAGATGTCAGCCTCACAGCGTAAGTCCCAGAGAACAACTTTGATTTGAGACCCCTGATATGGTCTTTAAATTTCAAATCACTGTCAATAATCAGTCCCAGAAATTCAGTTGATGGTTTATTCACAACAAAGATGTCTACATTGTAAATTGCTAACAAAATATTTCAAGCAAATTACCTTCGTTTTAGATATATTAAAACTGAGACGATTTGCGTCACACCATATTTTTATTTTGTTAAAATATTTTGTTTATATATTCTTTCAAGTTCAGAGGGATTTTGATCAAGCCATAAAATTGTAGTGTCGTCAGCGAAAAGGGTGAACTCACCTTTAATATCAATAGATGTCAGATCATTTATATATAGAAGGAATAATAGTCGAGCAAGGACTGAGCCTTGAGGAACCCCACAGTTTGTTTTTCTAAAAATTTGACTACGCTCAGATGAATAAGATTTGAATTACTTGAGACTAACACCTCTTATTCCATACTGTCACAAAACACAGCAGCTACAGTTTCTCCATCATATAATTTATTATATAGACTATACAGTAATGAAAAAATGGCATCACGTGTGTTTTTTCTACTCTAGAATCCAAATTGACATTTGTTTAATGTCATTTCATTGCTATTGTCTGATTATAAGCACACTTGAACCAAATTGAAATGATTTTGACCCGAAAATAACAATGTTTCTTTGTCAATAATAGACGTTCAGATGACTTTTAAAATAGAGTTGAAATCAGCTAGAAAAAAAAAAGAGAGTTGAAAAAAATAAACAGACCGCTGGTATGTTGTGGAATTGACCGATACTTGATGAAAATCTGTAACGTATTCAAAAGTAGCTATTTGCTTCCTGAGGCTGAGGCTTCCTGAGGAAGCTATTGCTGTTCAGTAAGAATTTCTGCTCTTTTATCCGTTCGAATATTGAGTCAACTACGCAGAGTATTATATGTGTGTGCAAGATGTTGGTTAACAAATTATAACACGAATTCGAACATGTTTTTGGTGAGTTGTTGAAAACTCTGGCCGAATGGAATGTACTGGAGTTTTTTCCCATTGGGTTCTTCGAACCCACAGGGGCTCTTTCAACGTCATTCAAAGTTATTGATTACTGCGCTGGGAATGGAGTAGATAGATAGATAGATAGATAGATATTTATTTAATCTCTTATGGTTGTTTTACAACATGAGATAAGTCACAGTACATAAAGAGGGAAAAATAAAAAATATTTAAATATAAACACATGTTAAAATACATTGAAACAAAACTGCCTAGTCGCTACGTTTTTTATACTCGTCTAATGAATAAAAGGCATGGCGGATGAGAAACTTTTTCAAAGATAGTTTGAAATGTTTCATATTGGTGATGAGTTTCAAGTCTTCAGGCAAAAAATTGAACAAATGTGCTCCAGAATATAGTGCAAATGGAAGTCATTCTTCTGTCTGGTATCATATTCATGATAGTCACTGTTTCTATTCATATTTTTAGTATTTTGATGGGTATATATTAATAATTTGTAGAGATAGATAGATGTTAATGTTAGGATATTGTTTTCAATGATCGTGTTTCTGCACATATCTTAGTTTGGTAGCTGCGAAGGTTCATTTTATTAACGGTTAATGGTTGTAAACTGTTCAGTCAAATATTCATAATTATATATCGTTAATGTCTCTCGAAATTGGGGGGTTTTCAATTGTCATTTATTGAAATTGTACATATCTTTTGGGAAAAACGAATCCCATCATTTCATTGCTATGCTCTGGTTTTAAGCACATTTAAACCAAACTGAAATGATTGTGACCTTGGACACTCCAGACGAAGTCTCAAAACAATCCCGAAAATAGCTAGTAATTTATTGATGTGAGCGATTCATCAGTTACCTTTACTTTTTCTACTTCATTTTGATCTTTGTAGGTAACAGACATCAATTCACAGAATGGTGATAGAATATGTGACACATGCTCTGATAAACTAGAAGAAATATCATCATTCATTAATCTATCACTGTTAAATGATGGCCTACTGGAAAATATCCTTTGTGGAAATAATGCTGTGAAAACTGAAAGCTGCTCAGACTTGAGCAATGTGGATTCACCAACGTGTAATGATGTGAAATATGACAGAGTATCTGATGAGATATATTTGAAATTGGAGAAAGAACATGAGATCATTGATATCAAAGAACATATAATCAGAATCGAGGTTGAAGCTGGTTCTGGTCGGAATCATCTCAGTGGAACAGATGTTAATGCTAGTGCCACCTTTCCGGAGGACATGGGAAAAAAAACCTATGAATGTGATTACTGCAAAAAAAGTTTCTCACGTGAAATTAATTTACTGGGCCATTTGAGTATTCATGCTAAAGATAAACCTTTTGAATGTAATGTTTGTCACAAGAAATTCGGTTGGAACCAAAATCTGAAACGGCATTTGTTAACTCATTCTAACAAAGAAATGTTTCAGTGTCATCGCTGTGATGAGCGATTCTTTCATAAATATAATTTGGAACAACATATGTTGAGTCATACAAGTGAAAAACGGTTTGAATGTAATGTGTGCGGGGAAAAATTTACTTTGAAACCCAATATGAAAAGACATATGTTGATTCACATGGGAGTAAAGCCATTTAAATGTCAATACTGCAAAAAAAGTTTTTCAAGGCAATCATTTTTACAGGGGCATTTGAATTCTCATACTGGAGATAAACCTTTTGAATGCCATATTTGTCAAAAGAAATTCGTTCTGAACCAATATTTGAAACGGCATTCGCTTATTCATTCTTATATAGAAAAATTTCAGTGTCGTAACTGTGATAAGCGATTCTTTCATAGAGACGATTTGAGAAGACATATATGGAGTGATACATGTGAAAAACCGTTCATATGTAACGTTTGCGGAAAACAATTCACTCGGAAAAACGCTATGAAAAGTCATGAGCTGACACACATGAAAGAAAAGCCTTTTAAATGTCAATACTGCAAAAAAAGTTTTTTAAGGCAACTATCTTTACAGGGTCATTTGCATATTCATACTAGAGATGGACCTTTTAAATGCGATCTTTGTCAAAAGAAATTCGGTTGGAACCAACATTTGAAACGGCATTTGTTAACTCATTCTAACAAAGAAATATTTCAGTGTTATAACTGTGATAAGCGATTTCCTTATAAAGACGATTTGAGAAGGCATATATGGACTAATAAATGTAAAAAATCGTTTCAATGTAACGTTTGCGGTAAAAGTTTTCTCTTGAAACAAAATATGGAAAATCACAAGTTGATTCACTCCGAAGAAAAAGCCTTCCAATGCAATGTGTGCAAGAAAGGATTCGCTCAGAAACAATATTTGAAACAGCATTTAGTTATTCACTCACGTAAAAGAAATATGCGAACATAAAGTGTGCGGAAAAAGTTTTTCTCTGGGTTATTACTAAAAAGAAAAGTTTGCATTGAGACTGGCGTACCTCAAGGCTCAAAGCTGGACCCGCTCTTCTTTTTGGTGCAGACAATGATTTGCCAAATGTCGAAATATCTTGACATTTTACACTGTAGGCCGATGGCTCCACCATAATGTAGCGTAGTTCGTATTTAGAATCATTGAAAAGACTAGTTAATAATGATGTAAACGTAATTAGAAGATGGTGTTATTCAAATAAGCTTTCTTTCAATGTCTTAAAGACCAATGTTGTCGCTTTCAGATGGTACATTGAAAATATTTCACTAGGAGAAGAGTCATTGAGAACAAACATCATACAAAATTCCTGGGGTTACGCATTGATAGCAGTCTGAATTTCGATAATCACATTGAGGTTTTCAAAAGCTAACTAGCATCTGGATGTTATGCAGTTCGTGGAATATCCAGTGAACTCGCACTGTCCAACGCAAAGATGGTTTATCATTCATTGATCAAATCTCACCTGCGTTATGGCACTGTCTTCTGAGGTGTTAGTGATAACCACAGGCAGGATATTACAATTCAACTAAAACAGGCAATACGGTACATATGTAAAGCAAAAAATCGGGATTCTTGTCGACCATTATTCATTAAGTATAAAATTGTGACAGTAGTAGTGTTATTCATATTGGAAACTGCATGCCCGATAAGAAAATACATTAACAGCTCTTAAGGCATCCAAACGATTAATAGTACTCAGCAGGCAGAAAATGTTGTCAAATCTGGTCAAAGACTCTCTTAGATATAATAATCTACCACTGAAGATAAGGAAAATTAACAGCTCGACAATCTTTAAAGAAGCATTGAAAACTTGGTGAGAAACTATACTACTGCTTTTTTTACTTTTTTTAATGAAACATTTCAAATCAAATTCAATTGCATTACTAAAGCTATCTTTTGTTAGTGTAATTACCCTAGTTATGTTTTTAATCATTTAGTTTCATCTTCTGACTGACGTGTGTTTTGTTGTGTCAATTTTTCCAATTACTTACATAAGATACGCTTTATCAATAAGAATTTTTGTTCTTCAGACAATAAAGAATATTTCTCTCTCAAGTTATGGAACTGTACATATTCACTCTCGTTTCAAAAATCCATTTCGTTGACGTTACTGCAAATATCTAAACAACTATTACTAACCCTACTAGGGTCACAGTCAACTCCACTAATGAAACAAAAACCACATGACAGTTGGTTAACCAAATAAAAGTGATACACAACCAAGTAACGGACATTTCCTTAAAAGGAACGGATAAGAATTATCCACTAGAGAATTGGTCGAGAAATTCAATAGACATTTTACACCCATTCCAGTAAAAGTCGGGCTTGATCTTGAATCTTAAGACTTGTATCTCTATGAACTTTGTATATACGTATACAAACATAAAAACAAATTTTTCAAGAGAACAGATCATCAGTGTGCCAGTAGATCCAGAAATTTTCTTCTTCTTCTTGTGCCCAGATTGCATAGAAGTAACCTCTACCAATGACTATCTAAAAACCTCCAAATATTGAAATGTTCAAATCTAGACTTGAAGCATGACTTATTGAGAAAAACTGTTACAGTATTGATGAACTTCTGTCATGATTCTATCTACGAGGGTATTCATTCAACTTGTTTGACAATCGATGTTTGTATTAACATTTATCATTTGTATTATGACACTTTTTATGTTTTTCAAACATGTTCTTGTTTGTGTGTCTGCTTTCATTTAGTTTCGGTCATATATAAAAATTTTCATAATTCTATATTTTTATGCATTTTAGTTTGTTTCCTTTTATATTTGTAATTTACAATTATATCTATTATCTGGAAATTATTTTTTAAACTGATTTTTTTGTTGTTTACTGATTGTGATGTTTTACTCAGTTGCTTGGATGTATTCATACATTCATGCTTTTTGAGTGAAAAGTAAAGATTTATTATTGTTATTTATTATTATTGTATTAACCGGCCTATTCGAACGCAAATGCGAGCTGAACGAGATGTTATGCGGGATGTAATGCACTTACGAGTCTCAAATGAACTGAGCACATCTACACCTAAAACCTGGCCATAAATGAAATTTGTCAACTTCAATTGTCACACGTAATAATGGACACTAGGACAGGTAGATAAATGGGTCATCCTTTGTGACCATCGTTACCTGTGTATGTCCATTATTTGTGACATGAGAGCAGTTGAAACCTAGCGTTTGTTCACTATGCATGTGTTTGTTTTGAATAACCTCTTAAATCTCATTTGTTTGCTTATTTATTAATTTATAATTTGTGTTATATTGGTGAAAAAAATTGCTATGGATATTATTGGTTAAGGTATGTACTACATTTTAAGATACATAAGTTTAATTTAATAGGCTTCATTTTCGAATATAGAGTGTAAAATCATTTGTATAAAAAAACTTGTATTTTTCGACATTCTTCAGCAATCGTAGATATTTTAAACATGTGAAACTAATTGCAAATGACACTTCAAAGTTTCTAGAATAAGTTCATGAAGCAAAGTCATTCACATTTCATAGAATTTTTCTATAGAAATTTACGAAAAATTATAGTTTTTATAGTTTCAAGTGATATTTTATCAATTGTTACATATTGTGGACCTTCTGTTATATCTATGACAAGAAAAAAACTACACGAGCTTGTTAAAGCATGTCCACAGCGACTGCTCGACAGAAAGCTCCAGGATTTGGAAGAAAAATTGGTTGAAATAATCAAAACTCGAGACTTTTTTTCAATACAAAAAAATATTCTATATTATCGTCATTATTAATTTGTCTTTATTTTTATTGAGAATAGGTCAATTTCTATCCATAACATTAAAAAAAAAGTGAGAATTTATTTTTGGCCACGTTTTAGGTGCTTTTACCACTCTGTGGGACGGAGGCGTATTCGACAACGCCACCCCCGTCGTCCACGCTTACCCTACTTCTTCTTCGTAACGGCCTCCCAGATCTGAGTCCCAGGGATTTCAGGACCCATTCCGGACCTGAGTACGGCGTGAGGTTGTGGTACCTCGGCTAGCTCGTCGTGGTGGATATGTATAGCTTATGGACTGGCCCCGCCATGAAGCCACCCCCAAGCCTCTCTCGGCTTCAGGGTGACCCCCTGGCCTACCTCCATCCACTAGTTCTTTCACTAGGGCGCCAGTTCCTAGCTCGTTCTTAACAAACGGCGCGCCTGTGCGCTGAATGTCCGTGTCCCAGGGACTGTTAAGGACTGCCTGGGACTGCTGGTGTCGGACGGCCTGTCCTTCGTCGGTGAGGATGTAAGCGTTCCGCGTTGACTGTCCTAAACTGCTGCTGCATCGACTCTTAGTCGGGTTTGATAATGGCCGCGACATTTCCCTGTTTATTACTGTCACAGGATGGCTGTACACCCTGTGAATGTTAATCTTAGGTGAGTCTACTACATAAGTAGACAACATCTCCTGAACGTTTTTTTTCAAAACATTGCAATCGGGGAGAATTCTCAAATCCAGAGGCAAACATCCCCCCGGTTGTCGTCGCCATACTCGCATATTCATCATCGCGCGAAGCCCTAATTGGGGTTCGCTCTGTGGATGATTCCTTGTCGGGGCCGATCTCGGCGTTGTCAATAGTGCTCGCATTTCCAACAATTGACGGAGATTGACCTGGGGCTCGCTTCTTGTCCTAGACAACCACAATATATTTTATGTTGAATGTATGTATATAGTATGGAGGGTGAGTGTATATCCACAGCACTTAGGCCACATGTGACCCATTGTACATCCTCCCGAGGAGTTGTCCTCCTAGGTGATCGTCCATCCTGTTCTTACCAGGAAGGTGGACACGTCACTAGGAAATATCTCCTTTATAGCGGCAGGTGTAGGCCAAAACTCGTCGAACACATACTCTCTTTGGCAAGCTTAAGGTATCTCACGGTGGCTTCCGCGAAGGTTTTGGAAGATGCAGCGACATTACTGTCGTTGCGCGGCTTCTTCAACCTTCGTGGGGTTCCCCTAACGGAGGTGTTCAAGTGAGGGCGCTTTCCTGCAGGGGCAGCCGGTTCCTTGCCTTTATTCAAGGCGGAGATCTTGGCGCCCGACGCAGGAAGTGCCCTTGCTGGAGGTGGAGTGGGGGAGGAGGAGGGTGCACTTATAGTTGCTGCCACTCCTGCCTCTTTACCTCTCTTTCTCCTTTTGGCTACGGCGCCGCAAATATGCCGCCTTTGTATTACATCACGAGGTGATCTGCTACGTCCAGCCTCATTCCGAGCGGTAGATTGGGGTGGACATTTCTGTTCATCTCCAGCCATTGCCATAGATTGAGGTGAGCACTTCTGTCCAGCCTCGGGATTGGTTTTTGTTGTGTCTGTTTGTTTCATATATGTGTGTTCCCACGAGTAGCAAGGGAAGAGCTGGTCACTTCTGGTAGAACTCCGCATTACCAAAGGAAGGCTGACTACAATGAGGTTTCGCCCGGTTCCCCAAATGGATCGTTCGTGACCGCATGTCACCCTGCGCCATTCAGCTGTCGGCACGATTCCTTACTGGGTAGGCTGGTCCACGGCGGCATGTTTCGCAACGGCTTTTGGGGAGTTTTAGTTCCCCTCACCCTATTTATTTCTGCCACTGACCAGGAGTCTGGCGATCCCGTCCGTGAGGCCACATATTGGATTCCCGGACAGGGCCCCCAGTTCCCTGGCCGTTCCCCTATCCGCCACCTTGGGACGCTCCCGATAGGTAGCCCAACCCATGGAAGAGTATAATGTAATTTCAACAGCTTTCTCTTGAAGGTTAGTACCAACTGAAAAAGCGGTGAATACAATAAGACCAGCGCCATCTATGTGTTAGTCCTGAGACTTTCAGCACAGGTGGTACTAATAAAAGATCCAGTAGATTTTTACATATCTTTACCTCTTCGCCAATAGAACAGATCATCAGTGTGCCAGTAGATCCAGAAATCTTCTTCTTCTTCTTGTGCCCACTTCAGGTGGTACTAATAAAAGATCCAGTAGATTTTTACATATCTTTACCTCTTCGCCAATAGAACAGATCATCAGTGTGCCAGTAGATCCAGAAATCTTCTTCTTCTTCTTGTGCCCACTTCAGGTGGTACTAATAAAAGATCCAGTAGATCTTTACATATCTTCACCTCTTCGATTCCATAATAGTGTTTTAATTTTTTTTTCTGGAAAGCAGTGGTTAAATATTGGTATGAGTAAGTTCTTTAGAGCTTCCCCCTTTCGGTTTATGTTCTCCTTTGGAATGAAAAAAACATTTTCCCCACTCCTCTTCTGCCACAATATTTTCAATTTTTTTCTTTATTTTGTGTTTGAAAAGTTCTGCTGTAAAAATAAGTTGTGAACTAGCTAGTAATTCATTGAAGTGATTGAGTTGTTCTTTGTCTTTCTTATTTTGTAATACATTTTGATCTTTCTAGGTAACACACATCAATTCACAGAATGTTGACAGAATATGTGACACATGTTCTGACAAACTAGAAGAAATATCATCATTCATCACTCAATCTTCTCGTAATGAAGGCATATTCGAAAATGTCCTTCATAGAAGCAACGCTGTGAAATCCGAAAGCTACCCACACCCGAGCAATTTCAATGTGAAAATCGAGGAGGAGCACGAAATAATTGATGTCAAAGGTGGTATCAGTTGCGAAGTTGAAACCGATGTTGGGAGGAACTGTCTCGGTGGATCACAAAGTCGTTCTTCTTCAGTTCCTGCAGAAAAATCGATTCAGTTCCCGCACTGCCCGAAAAGATTCACTCCGAAATCACATTTATTCACTCACACAGAAGGCGATCTATTCGAATGTAATGCGTGCGACAAAAGTTTTATAGGCAAACCTGCTATAGTGAGACATTTGTCTGTTCATACTAGAGATAAACGTTTTGAATGCAGTATTTGCCTAAAGAAATTTACTAGGGGCAAGTATTTGAGACGACATCTACTAGCTCATTCTGGACAAACGTTTGATTGTCAATACTGCGAAAAAAGTTATATATCTAAGCCCTCTTTAAAGGCTCATATGTCCATCCACACTAGAGAAAAACTTTTCGAATGTAATGTTTGCCAAAGGGAATTCACCCGGAACCAATATTTGAAACGGCATTTAACAGTTCATTCCGGGAAAAGACCATATGAATGTCAATACTGCCAAAAAGGTTATTGGCATAAACGCTCTTTATCAACCCATGTGTGTATTAATACAGGAGAAAAACTTTTTGAATGTAATATTTGCCAAAAGAAATTCGCCGGGGAGCAAAGTTTGAAAAGGCATTCATTTATTCACTGTGAAAAAAAGCCATTTGAGTGTAACGTATGCGAAAAAAGTTTTGCTCTGGAACAACTCCTGGAAAACCATATGTTAACTCACTCAGATACAAAACCGTTTCAGTGTCAGTGCTGCGAAAAAAGTTTCCTAAGAAAAAAATTTTTACTGGAACATATGCGCACTCATACCAAAGACACCCCCTTCGAATGTAAAATTTGCCAAAAGAAATTCACCCTGGACCGGAATTTGAAACGACATTTAGTCCTTCATTCTGGAGAAAAACCATTTCAATGTAATCACTGCGAGAAGAGCTTCTTTACACAAAGGGATTTGATACCCCATGTGATGACTCATACAGGTGAAAAACCGTTTGAATGTAAAATCTGCGGAAAAAGTTTTGTTCTAAGGAAAGTTCTGAGCGGGCATATGTTAACTCACTCCGACGCAAAGCCTTTCAAATGTCAACACTGCGAAAAATGTTTTTTGAGGAATAAATCTTTGAGGGAACATTTGCGAACCCATACTGGAGAGAAACCTTTTGAATGCAATGTTTGTCAGAAGAAATTCGCCCTGCGTCAGAATTTGAAAAGACATTCTCTCGTTCATTCTGTAGAAAAACCTCAATGACTGTGAAAAGAACTTCTTTAGGAAAATGAATTCAATACCTCATGTGCTGATTTATACAGCTGAAAAACCGCTTGATGGTAATATGAGCGGGGCACAAATTATGGAAAGCAATAGTTAATTCACTGTATACTAAGATATTTCAGCCCGTACTACGATAAACATTTTCAAAACACAATCTTCACGTGGTCATTTTCTCACTCATACTGGAGAAAAGCCTTTTAAATGTAATGTTTATCAAAAGAATTTGAAATGACATTCGTTTGTATATTTTGTAGAAAAACCTCAATACAATACCTGTGAAAAGAATTTCTTCAGGAAAATGGATTTGATACGTGCTCACTCATACACCTGAAAAACCGCTTGATTGTAATGTACATGTGGTCACTCATACAGCTGAAAAACCGCTTGATTGAAATATGAGCAGGACACAAGTTATGGAAAGCAATAGTTAATTCACTGTATACTGACATTTCAGCCCCTATTGCGAGAAACATTTTTTAAAACACAACCTTCACCTTTCTCACTCATACTGGAGAGAATCCTTTTAAATGTAATGTTCATCAAGAGAAATTCGAAAATTTGAAATGACATTCGCTTATACATTTTGAAGAAAAACCTCAATACAATAACTGTGAAAAAAATTTCTTCAGGAAAATGGATTTGATACCTCGTGTCGACTCGAAGGTGAAAAACCGCTTGAATGTAATATGAGCGGGGCCAAGTTATGGAAAGCAATAGTTAATACACTGTATACTATGACATTTCAGTCCCTATTGCGAGAAACATTTTTTAAAACACAACCTTCACCTTTCTTACTCATACTGGAGAGAAGCCTTTCAAATGTAATGTTCATCAAAAGAAATTCGAAAATAATTTGAAATGACATTCGCTTGTACATTTTGAATAAAAACCTTAATACAATAACTGTGAAAAGGATTTCTTCAGGAAAATAGATTTGATACCTCGTGTCGACTCATACAGGTGAGAAACCGCTAGAATGTAATATGAGCGCATATTGCGAGAAACATTTTTTAAAACATAACCTTCACCTTTATTACTCATACTAAAGAGAAGCCTTTTAAATGTTCAATAGAAATTCGAAAATAATTTGAAATGACATTCGCTTGTACGTTTTGTAGAAAAACCTTAATACAATAACTATGAAAAGGATTTCTTCAGGAAAATATTGATACTCATACTGGAGAGAAGCCTTTTATATGTAATGTTCATTAAAAGAAATTCAAAAATATTTTGAAATGACATTCGCTTGTATATTTTAAAGAAAAACCTTAATACAATAACTGTGAAAAGAATTTCTTCAGGAAAATGGATTTGATACCTCGTGTCGACTCATACAGGTGAAAACCCGTTTGAATGTAATATGAGCGGGGCACAAGTTACGGAAAGCAATAGTTAATTCACTGTATACTAAGACATTTCAGGCCGTACTACGATAAACATTTCTTTAAAACACAATCTTCAGGTGGTCATTTCCTTACTCATACTGGAGAGAAGCCTTTTTTTCAGGCCGTACTACGATAAACATTTTTTTAAAACACAATCTTCAGGTGGTCATTTTCTTACTCATACTGGAGAGAAGCCTTTTAAATGTAATGTCCATCAAAAGAAATTTGAAAATAATTTGAAATGACATTAGCTTGTACGTTTTGAAGAAAAACCTTAATACAATAACTGTGAAAAGAATTTCTTCAGGAAAATGGATTTGATACCTCGTGTCGACTCATACAGGTGAAAAACCGCTTGAATGTAATATGAGCCGGGCACAAGTTACGGAAAGCAATAGTTAATACACTGTATACTATGACATTTCAGCCCCTATTGCGAGAAACATTTTTTAAAACACAACCTTCACCTTTCTTACTCATACTGGAGAGAAGCCTTTCAAATGTAATGTTCATCAAAAGAAATTCGAAAATAATTTGAAATGACATTCGCTTGTACATTTTGAAGAAAAACCTTAATACAATAACTGTGAAAAGGATTTCTTCAGGAAAATGGATTTGATACCTCATGTGTCGACTCATACAGGTGAGAAACCGCTAGAATGTAATATGAGCGCATATTGCGAGAAACATTTTTTAAAACAACCTTCACCTTTCTTACTAATACTAAAGAGAAGCCTTTTAAATGTTCATCAATAGAAATTCGAAAATAATTTGAAATGACATTCGCTTGTACGTTTTGTAGAAAAACCTTAATACAATGACTATGAAAAGGATTTCTTCAGGAAAATATTGATACTCATACTGGAGAGAAGCCTTTTAAATGTAATGTTCATTAAAAGAAATTCAAAAATATTTTGAAATGACATTCGCTTGTACATTTTGAAGAAAAACCTTAATACAATAACAGTGAAAAGAATTTCTTCAGGAAAATGGATTTGATACCTCGTGTCGACTCATACAGGTGAAAAGCCGCTTGAATGTAATATGAGCGGGGCACAAGTTACGGAAAGCAATAGTTAATTCACTGTATTCTAAGACATTTCAGCCCCTATTGCGAGAAACATTTTTTTAAAACACAACCTTCACCTTTCTTTCTCATACTGGAGAGAAGCCTTTTAAATGTAATGTTCATCAAAAGAAATTCGAAAATTTGAAATGACATTCACTTGTACGTTTTGTAGAAAAACCTTAATACAATAACAAAAACATTTTTTTAAAACACAATCTTCAGGTGGTCATTTTCTTACTCATACTGGACAGAAGCCTTTTAAATGTAATGCTCATCAAAAGAAATAGGAAACGAATTTGAAATGACATTCGCTTGTACATTTTGTAGAAAAACCTTAATACAATAACTATGAAAAGAATTCTTCAGGAAAATGGATTTGATACCTCGTGTCGACTCATACAGGTGAAAAACCGCTTGAATGTAATTTGAGCGGGGCACAAGTTATGGAAAGCAATAGTTAATTCACTGTATACTAAAGACATTTCAGCCCGTACTACGATAAACATTTTTTTAAAACACAATCTTCAGGTGGTCATTTTCTTACTCATACTGGAGAGAAGCCTTTTAAATGTAATGCTCATCAAAAGAAATAGGAAACGAATTTGAAATGACATTCGCTTGTACATTTTGTAGAAAAACCTTAATACAATATCTATGAAAAGAATTTCTTCAGGAAAATGGATTTGATACCTCGTGTCGACTCATACAGGTGAAAAACCGCTAGAATGTAATATGAGCGGGGCCAAATTATGGAAAGCAATAGTTAATTCACTGTATACTAAGACATTTCAGCTCCTACTGTGAGAAACATTTTTTAAAACAATCTTCACATGGTCATTTTCTTACTCATACTAGAGAGAAGCCTTTTAAATGTAATGTTCATCAAAAGAAATTTGAAAGGAATTTGTAATGTCATTCGCTTGTACATTTTGTAGAAAAACCTCAATACAATAACTGTAAAAGAATTTCTTCTGAAAAATGGATTTGATACCTCATGTGGTGACTCATACAGGTGAAAAACCGCTTGATTGTAATATGAGTGAAAACAAGTCTATATGATTGGTGACAAACTTTTTCCTATTAGGTAATTATCTCGCATGTTCACTGACGCTTCTAATGAATTAGTATCCATTGATTTCGATCGTTTCAAGAAATGTAGTTTGAGAATTATTTGTATGTAAAACTTATAAAATATGATGAAAATCAATTATAACGTTTTTAAAAACACTTTAATTTGTGATGTTTGTTTTGAATGTATTGGGAAATGAAGGCCGACGCTATGCGCCGGTGGTACGGGGGTGTGAGTTCGGAGGAGTAGGGGTTCCCTTGGCAATGGTGGCGCTAGATAGAGGAAAGATGCCTGTTGTAAGGCCTTTGGGCTAGAACAGCAAAGGCAATGGCATTATTCATGTCCCAATCGGGAACTACGCTTGTGCTCGACTAGGTGGGTACCAATGCTTCTTTTCGTCTGACTGATATAGACGCACTTGTCGGTTTTAAAAATTGGTCAAACCACCAATGCTGACATAAACAGTTGTGAAGCAAACCTGGGTGTCGCACCAATAGGTGGTTCCTCTTAAGTCCCGCTTGCGTTTACAGAGTGATTTTAATGAAGTACTTGTCTTGGTTTTTTCCAGTTTGTCCTAGTTAATTATAGTGTATAGTGAAACACGTGTTTTATTTTTATAGACTGTTGAGTGAAAATCTCACAATAAAATGATATTTTAAAACGTGCCTTGGATTACTTCATTTCATATTCTGAAACTTTTGCCACCCCTGCTAATTTAGCCTTCCACTTGAACTAGACTTCAATATACAGGGCGGTATAATTTCCAAGCATAAAAAAACGTTCAGATCTGGCAAAACATTTATTGTTCCTAAAATAAAAAAAAAACATCCGATCTTAAAACTAACGGTAACTGTAGAACTAACGGTACAAAACGGCGAACCTACAACTTCGACTGCACGAGATTATTCGTAGCGAAAATGTTCTTGGGATCGAGCTCCCTTTTGGCGGCTAGATAGAGGCCTACCCCCACATCGGAGACGGAACGTTGGTACCACTTTTTCCTCAGCTTCCCAACGCCGTGGTGGTGGGAGATGCTACCGCCGCAAGCGAGGATTTCCTCCCTCGCCCTCGTCTCCAGCCTGCTGTGGATGACCACCGGGTCTTCTGCGATGCGATCGTGGTTGAACCCGAGGTAGAAGTAGATGACGCAGCCCGCGTCGTAGGTCTGCGTCACGCGGCAGTTGATCAGAAAATGCGTGATCCCGATGGCGCGGCATTCCTCTGAGACGACGTGCTTCACGTTCCGGACGAGAGAGGCCGCTCTGTCCCAGGGGACGGACGTTTCGAACGATTCCGCCACCACGTTGTATAGGAGCGCCAAATCCTATAATCAAATTATTGTTGAAAGGAAATGTCAAGTATTTTTCTTGTTACACTGAAGAAATTTACAGCATGACAATATATTGCTGACTCAATACCTAATGGTTGAGTCATTCGAATTCTAAAATACCTTACCCTGATGTAAGCGATGACAAAGGTCAGCATGTAGCCTCTTTCTCCGTTCTTTTCCCCAGCCGAGAATCCTCCAAACTCCTTCGCCAATCCATAAAGCTTCTTCTCGTTTGCACTGACGTCACTGTCTTCGCCTTCAAATAACAACGTCATCACGCACATGTGGTCCGGTTCGAATCCTTTCAGCTTCGTGACGTAAAACTTTTTGAAGCCATCGACTAACGATTCGAAGCGGTTGGGTTTCGGTTTGAGGATCAGACCGAATTTGAACTGGTCGTTGTCCATGAGACGTATCGATGCCGGTTGCCATTTTCGGCGGGCTACCTAGAAACAAATCGGTTTTTCAAACAACGAGAGGCGCAAGGAGAGAGGGTGCGATTTTTACCCGGCGCCCAACGTGGGGTTAATTTGAAATATTTTCTCCAGATCGTGGTAATAACATTTCAAGTGCAAATTCGTGTAGATAAGCCTGAGGCAACAGAGAATCTGGACAATATAAGAACGGAATCACGATTATAGACAACAAAATCCGGGCTGAAACGCCATCTTCGAATAAAATCTGATGAACCTAACCACCCTCTGAAATTATAAATACGAGTGAACAAGTAGCTCGCCAGTTAGTCTTTTTGAGACTCGCAGTCAACGCACATACCACTGATCATGTATGTTGCAGTAGCAGACAATCCGGATTTTGCAAGAATACATCTGATTCAATTGAAAAACCTAATGAAGAACTCCTGATAAGTTATGGTGTTATCCAACGTTTCAGTTGATGAAATTCTAAGAATTGTAAAAATTATACTAATATGGCACACAGAACCGAATTGGGCGTGGAAACTGTTTTTGAGTTGCCAAAGTTATGTACTGACATAACTACTTCAACGAGAATTTTTATCAGGAATTTGAAATGGTAAGTGTTACCTTCATAATCGATTCCGAGATACATTTTTATGAAATATTTTGAGGAAATATACATCGAAACTAATCAGAATAGTCCAATGATATGGTGAAGATTTGTTAACGATATATTCGACATCTGGGTGTAAAATTCAAATGATATAAACTCATTTTTGAATTACTCGAATACCAGAGAGTCCACGATGATTTCATATAAGAGGGAAAACAGAATCACCAACGTATTAATTAATTTTGATACTAATGTTTATTGAAAGAGAACTCATACTTAAGCATAAATCTGATCAGCATGGCAGTATCATTAAAAACACTACTGCCAATTGTTTTGTGATAGAGCTGACAGTTCACAATCAAATCAGTCAAATGTCAAAGACGAATGGACGATTCTAGTAAACCTATTCAGTGTTTCCACTCTAAAATTTTCGGGTCTAAATCGACTGACATTTCCTAGGCCTATTTTGGAATAATTCAAAGTTGGAACAGATATAATTTATGATTTTATAGATTTTTGCATGTTCCCGGATATATGAATCGAAGTATTAAAGTTGATATAGACAAAAATAAAAAATCCTAGGAAATTTCAAGTTTGTACGTTGTTTAATAGTGGTAATTCTGTAATTTTACCGTCACATGTCATATAACATATAAAATTTTATTGTTTATTGTATTCAGTAGAACAGGATCGTTCTGATGGAAAAAGTCTAACCATCTTTGGAGTTCTGCAACTGAATGGTAATAATAATGGTATGGAAAAAGATATCATTCAACACCTACAGAATACACCATCAAAACGTAACTACTCGGCATAAACAAATTGAACACTGAAATGCTATGTTTGTGACAATAGGTAAACATATATAGGTGACAGGTTTCGAACAATTGAACAACCTAAAAAGTAAAATTCTCCAGGATTTTTTATTTTTGCTCATATCAACTTTAATACTTCGATTCATATAACCGGGAACATCCAGGAAACTATCAAATTACAAATTCGATCTGTTTCGACTTTGAATTATTCCAAAAAAAGCCTAGAAAATGTCAGTCGATTTAGACCCGAAAATTTTATAGTGGCAACACTGAATAGGAGTATTGGAATCGTCCATTAGTTGCAGACATGATTTCAGAACTATGAGTAAGTCTCTTTCCATATGGAGAAAACCTTCTTTCTAAAAATTGTAGAACAAATCGAAAACATTTGAGAATCAACTGGTGACGACGCAATGGAAACGAAACAAATCCAAAAAATATATCTTTCTTTGTTGCCATTGCTGAGGCGAGAGATTGGAGATGGCGAAACGTCATGTGTATGTATGTCTGCATATTTACTATCGACATTATTTTTGTTAGAAAATCACTGGATTTTTCAAAAACTAACCTCTCGCATGTATTTTATTCCCAGTTCAAAGGCGGGAAATACGATAGATCCGTACTTCTTACACTTAGGCAAGGGTCTAATCTTGATAACAACTTCGGTTATAACCCCCAGAGAACCCTCCGAGCCCAATACGATGTGGTTGAAATCTGGTCCACAGCTCATGCGCGGTACTTGACAGTTTTTCTGAAGCACGCCTTTAGCTGTGACTATCTTCACTTGCACTAAGAGATCTTCGATGTTTCCGTACACATTCTTCTTCATTCCTAGAAGAAACTTTCAGTTAGGTTTCGAAAACTGTGGTTGTTAAATTTCAAGGGAAGGTTAGCATTATTAATTGGTTGGCAGTATATGAACAACTAGTTACATACTTTAATGAATATAATTTGAAACAGCATTACAACTAACAGTCACAGAGTGGAAAAAAAGGATTGATAAGAAAGAATATATTGTTGCTATATTTCTAGATTTCAAGCGTGCCTTCGAAACAATTAATAGGAAAACTTTAATCAATAAACTGAAGCATTATGGTGTAACTGGAAGAGCTTTAAACTGGTTAGATAGTTATCTTGAGCAAAGAAGTCAAAGGACTGAAATTTGTGATGTAATGTCTGATCAAATTATAAATGACATAGGTGTAACACAAAGTAGTGTTTTGGGACCACTGCTATTCATTATTTATATAAATGATATCAAATATGTACCTGGTTCACACCATATTAATTTATTTGCTGATGATACCCTTGTATATACGGAAAACTGTGATTTAAAAGAAGCTGTACAAAATATCAATATATCTTTAAAGAACATTGAATTATATCTACAAGTGAATAAACTCAAATTGAATATCAATAAATCTAAGGCAATGATTGTTACAACAAATTTGAATCAAAGAAAGATTGATACTAACGACGTTAATATCAGCATATTCAATAATCAATTAACAATTGTAAATGAAATTAAGTATCTAGGATTCATTATAGACCATCAATTAAATTTGAATAAGCATCCCGAATATACCATTAGAAAGATATGTAAGAAAATGTATGTTTTCTCTAGAATTTCAAAATCTTTATCAACCTTTGCTAGACTAACATGTTACAACTGCATAATAAGGCCACACTTTGACTACTGTGCCACACTGATGTATCTAATCAACCAAAATCAAATGGGACAGTTGCAGAAACTACAAAATCGAGGTATGAGAATCATTTTGAGATGCAACCAGTACACCCCTCTTGAATTTATGTTGACTACTCTACAGTGGTAGCCGGTACATAAAAGACTGTATTATTTGAGCATGATTTTTATTTTCAAAATTACGAGTGGGATACAACCAGCCTATCTGCCTATCAGCAGATATTTAGTTCGAAATAGTGACATTCATTCATATAACACAAGAACATGTTATACATTTTAAAGATCCCGAACAAACTATAAGAGTGGAATGAATTCATTGTTCTTTAAAGGTCTAGATAGTTTCAATAAGTTACCTGATGAAATGAAACATGTAAATTCCTTAAAAGTATTCAAAAAGTTATTATTAGAATATATCAAATTGTAATACATGACGCACTGTAAAATTATATACGTATATAAATTATTCATATATGCATAACTATATGTATATTGTATATTAGGATTCCTAAAATAAAGTCTACTACTAGTTCAGAACTATTATTTGTCCTCTGATCTACTGCGCCTAACAAAGTCTTTCAAGTAATAAATAACACAACTCCACTTTTGCTTTCATTTGAAATCAGCTCATGAACAGATCGCTGTGAAGGCAGATAGTGGGTTTTCTATAGGTTTTGTATTATGCAGATTTGCCCTAGCTGGATGTATTCTTTAGCTACTTCATCGTTAGGCTATATTGCTCATGAAAAGATACTTCAAGTATTAGATGATTTTTTTGTATAGAAACACTTGGAAACAATGTAGATACATCAAAAGATACTGAGATCTCTCCATTACGCTACCTTATTACGCTACGTGATTACGCTACATCACGTATGACAACAACAATGCTTCATTAGTTGGTAAAGTGGACTAATCTAACTGAATTAAGAATTTAGAAGTCCTCAGATGATTGTACAATGATTGTTCAATATTTTCAACCATCTCATCAATTCGTGTTTGCTTGGAACTAGTGCTCAAAGGAATTTTTCGGATAATATCTGCCGCTGGTTTATGGAGCACAGTAGTTTTCTTTTATTGCCGGTAAAATTAAATCCTCTCCAATAATGTGAGGTTTATCTGTTCGAGCAATTGGCAAGGAGATATTGTAGGAAGCTCGGAGTCCGTCGTCGTCTTGCTTAGAAACGCTGAAAAAAGTTTTGACACAGTTGACTGCACTGTTTCTTTTCCGGTTCTTGAAAATTAGTCACACTTTTGTCTTTTTTATCTGAATGCATTTTATTCAAATGATCTTGTAGCCTTGAGGGTTTCATCGCTTCATTCGAATATGTTTTTTTACAAAGAAGCCACATAGGCGAAAATAGATTTGTGAGATTTTCAATAAATCCATATTTTATATATTCCGCGCTATACTGCCGTTTCTTCTTTTTTGCTCAGACATAATTTTGTCTTCAAAAATGCCGAAGTAAAGAACCGAATATTGAAAACTTGCTAATGACACCACTCACAGTATTCACCACAGCACGTACAGCACTTTACCTAGCTATTCGCTAACTGAGTTCACTTGTTTTCGTAATATCGTCGTATGACATTACTGGCTGGATGGCGCGCGCGCTTTTATATGAGGCAGCGGGCGGGCCTAGTTGTTTCGAGAATGGAGACTAGAAACTTCCCGCTTCGCATTGAAGCTTACCGCCATCTATTGTACAGTTTGACAACTATCAGACAGGAAATAGTTACTGTCTAGTCCCCTAGATGGTGTTACACGAGAAAACGCGCGTTAAGCGTGAAGGAGCGGTAAAGTTTGTATTTAAAGCAAAATAAACATTTTTAAATTAGACATCACCCCCCCTAAACCGCTTCAACGCCCCCCAATCTTCTCTGTGCCCTTTACTGCCACCCTATAGGCTCCCAGCCCCACAAGGGGTCGTTATCGCCCACTTTGAGAAAGACTATTTGAAATGAAAATTTGAAACCGATTTGTTCGTTTATTTTCTTAGGATAGTGGTAAATACGTTGAGTTCCCAGCAAAGTCAAGTGAAATCTGACTTTCTGCCTACCTATTTTGTCTAGTTCACACAGAACCCTGGATTATCGTATCTCCATTGTAGCTGCTCGGTATAGGGATACCTCGTGTCACTGAAAATTCACAAGGCTGGCGCCCGAGATAATAATAATAATAAATCGACTTTATTCATCAAAAATAAATTAGATGAACAGGCGGATTATCAGCATAAGCTGTTTTTCAAATCAACCTAACAAAAGTATACAATAAAAAACTATAATAATAACAAGTATAGAATCGAAGATAAATTAACCAATACAATAATAAACACAATAATAAAAGCTTGATTAAAATGAATAATAATAAGGGTTATGCTAAAATCGACATACAGAGCACCAATTACCAGGATTTAAGAAGAAGTTTCAAGCGTTTTTTAAATGTCATTATCGTGTAAAGTCTGAAGTCACTGGGCAACTTATTATACAGTTTAGCGGAAATATAGGAAAAACTACGAGTAAAAAGTGCCGAGTTGTGTTTGGGAATGACCAAGACAGAGCCATTTCGAGTATAATGGTTGTTAGTCTGGGAAAAACTAACAAGTCTATGATATAAATCTCAAACAAGAGTTTTGAATTCTTTGGAGGCGAAGAGAGTCGTATTGAGTAAGTGCAGGTCCATATATGCAATCGCAATATGATAATTTAGAAAAAATTAAAGTTTCGCAAAGCACGAGACGTTATACAGTGAATTGAGATCTCTATTTATTAGTTCTTGGGTTTCCAGATTGCCTTCCGGAAAAGATAAGTAAATTTGAGTGTCATCAGCGTAGTGATGGATATTACAAAATTTAATACATTTGTAAAAATCTGAGATATAGATGTTAAATAAGAGAGGTCCAAGAATGGAACCTTGTGGAACTCCAAAGTTGGTGTTCAGAACTGCAGATTTTAAGTGATCAAGGCTGATACACTGAGTTCGGTGTTCCAAAAAGCTTTCAATAAGATCTACGGCACATTTATCCAAACCAAAGTGATTTAGTTCTGCGGTCTAAGGTATCAAAAGCTTTACTAAAATCTAATAAAACTAGACATGTAACATACTTTTTATCGGTTGCTTTGAAAATATCATCCGTTATGCAGAGGAGTGCGGAAGTCGTACTATGTTGAGAACGAAACCCAGACTGAACGCTAGTTATGATACCTATTGTACGAAGTGATGAATTCAATCAACTAATCTTTGAGAATCAGTTCAAGCGTTTTATAGTCTATTTCAAAAGAGTGTAGAGTAATAAAATCTCATTAAGTATTCAAAAGCGCTACAGGGTGATCCGTCAATAAATTCTGTCACTTCCCTAGTCCGCATTGCAAAATTATGTCGTTTCATAAAGAGCAGGTAGGTATCACCCTGTTTTAAGGGATTTGTCCATTGTTATCGACGGATAAATACTGAGCCAGAGGCGCGCTAGTGGGATAATTGCCAAAAGAATATGCATTCATAAAAATTATATTAAAGGAAATAAAAATTTAATACAGCAGAACAGTGTTATTAAAAAAATATAAAATGTAACAATAAAATATATACGAACCGAAATCGGGAAATACTCACAAACACACACGAACGAACTTTACGTATTGAAACACTTGTGGGGACTTTAAATCAATTTATTCACAAAAACGACAAGAACTTTACTGGATACGTTATTACAATTTGACACTTGAACAATACTAAAACTGTGAAC